ATACATCTTTAGATGAAATACAAACCTACGACTGCCTTAAGGTCGGAATTAGTTTTGGAGCTCTACAACCCCGCAAGCAATAAAATTTGTCTGAAAACCTGAGATGGGATCTACGCTTTCAGATAAAATGTCATATATCTTATAGAAAATCACAATGGATCAGGCATTTTATATATTTTATTGAATATCCGAATTCATTTAACAGTTTTAACGCCATAGAGACGGATTTTCTGTCAGATAGCCCGAGTCAGAAGGCTGAATACGTCTTAATGTAAAAAAGTGACGCTTTCCATTTTAGACGAATAATTCGTCTAATTTTTTCCGTCTGTCAGACGGATAATCCGCCATCTCTAGTGTAATTCTGTTTTATTGGCCTCCGCACCAAACGTAAATACGTTACGTTTTTGTAATCATCCTCTAAATCCATTTCCTCCACAAAAAACTGCCAATCACTGCTGTCAAAAATAACGCTCAAATAACCTACCTTCTTCAAATAAAAATACTCTTTTCGTTGTACGACCTTTCCAGAAGACTGTCTGTCGCTTATTGAACATATTCCTTGGTCTTTTTTAAAGTTAACGTATTTGCAGTCGTTTCTTCTCCCGCAAATTTGTGAGCACGAAAGCAAAGAGTCAACCTTTTGATCCCAAACAGTTTTTTCATCAAAGAGGAAATGATTTTCCCTGACTTTAAAGTAAACGCCCTCTTCCTTAGTTTTTACCACTGCTGTTAAGTACAACAAGATAAGAGCTGTTTCGAACATCTTCAAAACGAGGAACTTTGTATGAGTGATAATAAACTTGTTCTTTAAGTGTAAGAGCACTTCAGAAGAACATCCAAAGGTTTTTTAAAATTTCACCCGATTCCTCGCGCACCAGACTAAGAGCGGTATTCCAACTGAGTAATAACATTTAACGCGACTGCCAAAAACGAGTTATTATTCCCAATAAATGGCACTGTTACAATGGGTTATTCGTGAAAATGTCACCAAGGTTTGACAGTTATTGTAAAGTGCAGAAGATATCGACATTTAATTGTCAAATCAGACTTCCCACACCACTTTAGTATTTTAAATAAAAATGGCATTTATTTGATCTCAGTTGTCGGCTGGTCAAAATAACATTAATGAAAGGTGCCGAGCACTATTTTACATACACTCTTTTTTTTTTTTATAAGAATGTTGTTTTTCCGGCCCAGGCTGAATATTCTTATTTTTCTGCTGATTTTAGGCTGAAAATATTCTTGTATTATTCTTAAATTATAGCTTATGACATTTTCGTTTTAGAATTTATTGGGGTATCAATTACAAGTGTTTGGTATCTAGATCTGTATCGCGTTACATTGTGCACGTGCTCCATCGCTTTTCGTTGCAGTCAGCGAGGTCAAGATGTCACGTCAAACGA